TATCCATCAGAAAATCCAAGAGAGCTGAGCTTATGCACGAGCAAAGTATGGGGCACGAGGTCAAAGGCACTAGAAAAATCAAAATAGACAGCATCAGCCTGACGCTGACTGCAGACAACAGGGGTCATAATATCTAGGAAGGATACCAGATTAGTGGCTGTGGATTTGGATTTGGTGAAGCCATGCTGGTTGGGATGAAGTTTAATGTAATGCGAAATATGATCGTGAATAATGAATTCGAGGAGCTTAGAGAACAATAATAATAATAGTAACAATATTAATATATGATTTATTGCTTAAGTATAGATGCTGTATACTTTAAAATTTCGAATATAAACAAATATTCGCATTGTCACCATGATTGTAATTGCTGACTTACACAATTTTTTCCCACTTAATGCGTACATATGTTTACGATTTATCTACGTGAGAAGTTCAACATACTTATCACAAACTATTAGTTGCAGCCATCTGACGATAAATTAACAGAGAATTTTCTCAGATAGTCATATTGTTATTCTATATTCTACAAAAATTACATAGAATCCATGATTTTCAAATATATATATTTTCATATATTTGAGGACCCTAACATAAAATGTCGCTGGTGCCTCCTCTACGTCACAGTTTCTCGCGTCCATCATGCCATCATATTGATTATAGGAAATTAAACTGGGTTGCCCTCTGACTTCACCAACTTTAAACCAAATTTCTTTAAAAAATCAGCCAACAAGTTTAAAAGTTGTAATGGTTCTCACGGAGACAAAGTGACATACAGAGAGCACGGTGGTCACATAGTATGCCTACGCTTTTCCTGAAGGAAGGAAAGTAGGCGAAAAGTGGGGAAAATACAACATGTGTGTATGTATACTTCAGTAACCAATTTTTAAACGTTTAATATTTATAGTCAAATAGCTGACAATTTGAACTTTCGTTTGCAGCTAGGTGGGAAGTTTGTTGAATTTATACAGATCTTCATTATCACGGCCGCCATGATGTTTCAGATACAAGCAGTCTGCTGGTTTGGCACCCAGCTCACACAACAGGTATGCAAACAAGACCGATTTAAAATTAAGAACTCTTTAAGTGTCCGATAAGACTCAAAGATCATAAAACGCAGTGGTTCTCAACAGTATGCCCCTTGTCTCTCACACATCATTTTATTTTAACCGTACTCCCACGTTAAAGAAACGGAAACTTCCTATCCAAAATGAAAATCTTTTTAAAACTGCTTAGTACGACATTAATTTTAAATGGAATCTCTTAAAAAAGTTAGAGATTACAAGAGTTCCTCACAGTAGTCGAGTATAACCCCATTGTCTGCATAATTAAAACGTGACAATGAGATGGGAACTCTGAAATTATGCAATTTCTGGTTACCATAGCTACGTTGGTTCTATTGTCCGATATTAACACATACATTTATAATAATTTGATGTGGATAAGTGAAATATGGTTATTACTTATGATAAAATGGGACTAAATGTAAGAGGGTTTGGAAGGTTTCTTTCCTTACTAGACATGAACGCAGAAAGTGATGAGAGCTCTAATCTAAAACCACCAGAACAAACAAAATGGGAACTTATGGATCTATGTAGGAAATACGAGGACTATATACCTGTACTACTGTTTGAATTAACATCTCCACGAATAGCAGAAAAGTATTCAAATTCTATCCGTATATTCCTCCTGTAAATTTCAAGCGTACAAGTATTCAGCAACAAAATTTAAAAGATCTTTTATGACGAACATGTATATCTGACGCCATTAGCCATTTTGATAATAGATCTCAGTAGAAAATAAAGAAAAAAACGTATTTTCTATGACTTGAAACTCCACTGAGAAATGTATCTTCTCAGAAGGCGTATATAAAATTGGGTATAATTTTGTTTTAATTTGCCCGTAAGGATTCTCAAGAGCTTCTTCCTTGATATGGTCGATGTCATTACTTCCTAAACACAAAATTCCTTCATTAATGCAATGTACAGGGTTATTAAAAAAGAATGAACCGATTTTATTACGCAATATTTTATTAAAGGAAAGCAATACAAAACTCCAGCCAAGTCACAAGTATTCTACTCACAATCAACTTTTATTTCCTGTCTTACAAATGTTCAATGTGGCCACCACCTGCAGCACGGGCAACATCGATGCGATAAGAGAATTCCTCCCAGGCGCGTATCAGCATATCAGGATGCACTGAGTTAATCGCTGTTGTTATTCAATGTTTAAGGTCATCGAGGTTAGTGGGTAGCGGTGGAATATAAACGTGATCATTTACATATCCCCACAAGAAGAAATCACACACGGTGAGGTCTGGGGGTCTCGCAGGCCAAGCACAAGCCAAGCAGCCAAGCCTTTGGCTCCCTTCCGACCAATCCATCGCTGGGGCACATTTTCATTTAAAAAAAAAAATCGAACCATCAGGTGCCAATGGGGCGGTGCTCTATCTTGTTGAAAAATGAAGTCATGCGAATCTGCTTGCAGTGAAGTGAAGAGCCAGTTTTTGAGCATATCGAGATAGATTTGTCCTGTAACGGTGTTTCCTTCAAAGAAAAAGGGACCATAAACCTTGTCCTGAGACACAGCACAGAAGACGTTCACCTTAGGGAAATCTCTTTCGTGCTCAACTGTTTCATGTGGGTGCTCTGTTCCCCAAATACGCACATTGTGATGATTGACTGTGCCGCTCAAGTGAAAAGTCGCTTCATCACTAAAAATTGAACGTGAAATGAACGTTTCGTCTTCTATCATCTCCAGTATCGAATCGCAAAATTCCATCCGCTTCCTTTTGTCGTCATTGGTAAGTGCCTGAAGGAGCTGCAGTCTGTATGGTTTCAAATGTAGACGTACTGTTAGCACACGCCAGACAGTGGATTGAGGGATCGCAAGCTCACGGCTAGCTCGATTTGTTGACTTCCGCAGGCTCCTCTCAAACGCCGCACGGATTCTCGCCACTTGTTCCTCCGAGACTCGTGGTCGTCCTGGACTTTTTCTTTTACACAGACACCCACTCTCTTAAAACTGTCGAAAGCACCGTCGAATGTTCTTAGGACAGGGCGGATTAATGCCGAATCGCCTTCGAAAAGCACGCTGCACCGTGACAACCGAATTTGTTTTCGCGAACTCGAGAACGCAGAAGGCCTTTTCCTGAGGACTCGCCATTCCGAGGGTAAACGAACAACTGAACGTTGCCGGAAGAACGACGCGACTTCAGCGCCTCAGTGGCAGCCATTCACAACTTAGATAACTCCTCTTTCAAATGGTCACTGACTCATTCCATGACGATGCTTGAGAAATGAAGCAATGCATCATGAAATCGGTTCATTCTTTTTGAATAACCCTGTATATAATCAACTACGTATGTAGCATTTCCTTACTTAGTGTTACAGTGCAAAGTAATCAGGAATATCAACACCGCCATAGTCTAAGTATGCATTAATTTCATTTCCCTCTGTTTGAAACAAACCCCCATAATTTACTGTTTCCTCTAAATAATAATACCAGTTGTGGCATTTATATTTCTGTTCGTAAGAAATAATTTTCTTGAGAACCAGATGGCTCGTAAGAAATAAAAATCCTATATAAATATTTTCACTGTGCGGTTGACTTCCTTGGGCTTTCTCTAGTGTTACTCTAATTATATAAAATGCATCAAAATTCTGCTGGCAGTGATTACTCATTAAGAACTAAGGGAAACTACGGACAAAGGACAGCCGGAATCCGGACCGAGACTTGAACTTGGAGCCTTCCAAAAGAGAGCAGCAGTACTGCCCACCCGAACGTGACGCTGTTTAATTTTCTCCTGGCTGATGAGCCTGTCACAGGACCACTTTATCCACTAGAATCCCAGCATAAACTGATCTCGGACTGAATGTACGTCGCTGAGGTTAGAAGCTAGCGGCTAACAACCAGAGCTATCAAAACTATGGAGTTTTGAGATAATTATTTATTTATGTACAATAGTGCCGTGCCCGTTGAAAATTCAACTGATAATAGATAGTTAACACGCTTGATATCTTGGTTACATATGTTCGGCATTCAAGACTCTATGTTGTGTGTATAGATATATGAATATGCAACACTCAGCACAGTTCCACAGGTTATCGGTTGAATCACGCCGGTCACAGTAGCCGCGCGGTCTAAGGCATGAACTGTCTTCGCTCGCTCGGACTCTGGAATCGTAGGCTCGAATCCCACTTAAGGCATGGATGTCTGTGTATGCGTTTATTCTGTGTTTGTGTTGTTCCGTGTTTAAGTAGAGGCCTAGCGTCAGGCTGATTACTCATCCAAGGAGTCCTACCGTCTATGAAAATTGATTACGGAACTGAATAAGAGGCCAGGGCCCTGAATGGCCTGGAAGAGCCATTGAAAAAAAATGGTTAAATCGTCACTTAGTCCATGCTTTCATACAAATTCAGCAGCATGTTTCGGGCACAAAGGGCCATCATCAGTTATACATGATTAGTTACGCTCTGTACTGTAGTGTATACAGGCTGGCGACCGAAAGGTGCTTAACCAAGTATCATCCACGAAATACACATATTTGTAGGAGAGAAATAAATTTTGAACAAAGGGTGCAGAGAGAATTATAATACATATTTTATGTTCAACAAAACCCAGTGGTTACGGTACGGATCGCATGCTTTAACATACTCTAACTCCGTATTCTCCCCACCGAGGGTATTTATGTGTTCCATATGGTTGTCACAATAAACATGGATTTATTTCTCAAAGAGCACTAACTGGTTGAAATTTGTAGGTGAGATATAATGTTTCCTGTGAGGTAGGGACTGAACTTTATATATTATTTAGAAGAAAGAGCCCCAGCTGGGGCTCGACATGAAGACAGACTGACTGACTGACTGACTGACCGTCAGTCGAAATGTGATTTTGACTTTGACTTTGAGAGTCTTTAAAGTGTTAAGAAATAATTTAGTGTAGAAATTTTCTAGGGAAAAGAAAAGTAACAAAATTGAAAGTGAACACAGTGCTTTGGTTCAGTCCTACCCTATAAGTAATTATAAATTTGTTTTGTGTCACGTGGTTCGAATCTTTACATTAGTTACGGTGTTTAATTCAGAATGCGATATCTTTGTTTCAGTCTGGCAGAGTGAGGGACGCAGCATGGGACAGCGACTGGGTGGGGGCCCCTGTCTCCTTCCAGCGGTCCATCATATTCATGATTTCCGTTTCCAAGGAATTCAAGCTTACAGCCGGCAAGATTATTCCTGTGTATCAGAGCACCGTCATGACAGTACGAACTCTCTTAAGACACACACTTCTTTGAAAATAAGGAGACGTTTATCTCTTCTATCTTCCTTCATATTGTCTACATGTTTCTATTCTTGCGCCATGAATATATATATATATTCCCCACTAAACTTGAAAGGATTCTGACGATGGTGTTTAAGGTACAGAACTATTAGGCTTATTTTGGACTCTATACATCGTCTGGTACATAGAAGACAAAAAGCACAATGTTTCGGAGACTGGATCTGTCTCCGTCCTCAGGTGGATGGGGCAGGATAAACCTACTCAGTTGGGCCCGTTAGGAATTTTGTGGTTCTTGTCTTCTATATACCAGACAATGGATACAGTCCAAAATAAGCCTAATAGTTCTGTATAATTTCGACTGTTTGAGTCCCAAGTGAAAGCGTGAAATACGTTTCTATAACGAGGTGCTACTAGTACAATGAGCGTAGTAGAAGCTTCCAAACACAGCAGTTTTGATATTGTTCTCCTGAAATCGGAAGAGATTTTATGGCTTAGAATGATATGCTTATTTAATTAATAATGAATTGAACGCAATGTTACTTTGAAGTTCTCTCCAGATATTTGCTATAGGGATTGAGGAAAACCATGAAAAATCTCACCTTCGCCGTTGGCCGGCCCAGATTCGAAATAGTCACCTCCCGAACACATGATAAAACAATTACCACTTCGGTCAACCTGCTCCATAGGTAAGAATATCTAGTTACTAATTATACTGTGAACCAAAAAAAATCCAATTTAAATTGAAGAAACCAAACATTATTCTATCCACAATGAGTCCCTCCATCTAGAGTCTTGGCTTAATTATATGAGGAAACAGAAATTGGAATGAATTCCGAAAGTAAATTATTTAGTATCAACATATCTGAGAGATTTTCTTTATAGAATAACTGACATTTAATTGATTGCAGCTATGTGTATTACAACGCTGTTTCCTCTCAAAAGGACATAATTTCCAAAATGAAAATTTATTTCTCAAAATCGATAGAACCATGTCAGCAAGGCGATATATGATTTCTAGGATCTGACAGTGATCTTATGCTTAATTATTTACTCATATTTGAAACTAACGATTGAGGTGTTCTCAGAGCGAGAACGTGCAATACACAACATTTCCTCCTTTCTACACCATGCTGATGATAATCGTATCCCGAAATGGTTCAGAAAACTTGTTGACTTGTTTTTGCCTCGTGGTTCGTAGACGTTCAAACAGGGTGGGGAAACGAAAAGTCGACTGAAGCGGAGAAGAATAAGGTCGAGTTGGCGAGGTTGTATTATGAAAAAGGAGGAGGAGAAGGAGGAGAAGGCGAGAAGGAAGAGGAAGAAGAGAGGAGAAGGAGAAAATTTGGGTTCTGAGATAACGCAATAATTTTAAAAACTTAACGATTATTATGTTCAGAAAAATTTCTCTACTGCTGTACTGCATCGCGAGAACATTTCCCTAATTTGTCTGTGTCTTGTATAGGTCCACGCTGCTTTTAGGATAATAATAATATACAGGGTGTCAGGATGAAAGGTATCCAAAATAAAATTATTATATCTCAGAAAGAATTTACTGTACACATTAATGGGTTACACCATTACAAAGGGGAACTATCAAAGTTTCTTTCTGCATATATAACTTTCTCAGTAACTTTAAATGTGGGTTCCCTTGGTGGCACGACAAATATCCAGGCTTTAAGCATGTTTGGTGTTACCGTAGTCACAGAGTCCCTTATGTGGGATTTCAGCTGTTCAAGCTTGTTGATCCTAACCTGGTAGACAATGTTCTTAACATAACCCAACAAGAAAAAAATCCACCGGGGCTAAATCTGGCTACCTAGGAGACTAAGCGATTGGTCCATCTCTCTGTCCAGGTAATTCCTAACATGGTGGTAAAAATGTCACGGCATATGCGCGTAAGCCGGATATGAAACTTTCAGAATGTTCCTTTCCGATGACATAAACCGGATACGTATATGACAATTAGTTACCGAGATATAAATATTTTATTTTGGATACCTTTTATCCGGACATCCTACATTATGGGACATGATACCATGTACTTTGGAAGAAATTTGTGGAGACTTGAGAGGAAAGTACAGTTTCCACTTCAGGCTCGAAAAATAAGCTGTGGAAGCTGTGAAGTTGGCGTCAGGAAATTTATCGGAAACATCGGTAAATTTCTGCAAGACTACGCAACACCACACCTCAGAAAACAGCACTCTTCATAGTTACCGCCATGAGAACCTCATATTTCACATACTGTTTTTAATTTCTCTTTGGGCTACCGTCAAAGCATGTTGAGGCAAAACGTGATGGAAAGAAATGATTAGTTTCAAGCGCAATTTTATTGCTTATAGGTATAAAAATCATGTTGAACGCGAGCGAGCTACCTTGTTCAATATTGTATACGTAACGACACTGAAGGCTGAAGAGTTCAAATGATGTATTTTTGTGTGTTTCAGGTCCTGAATGAGACCTACACATATTTAATGGTACTAGTGAACTTTGTGGACAAGTCATCAAGAACTCAGTAAACAAGTATAAAACAGCACCATGTAGTATGCCGTTAGATTTAACACTCTTCATTATGGAACGCAATATGTACACTGCAGGAACGTTACAATAATTTAAAACAAATTTACTGATTCCAAAATTTATCGACGTTGTCTTAACATATTAATATCCGAAAGGATGCTTTGTTTTGAAATTAATGTAAAGTGCCATTAGTAATAAAACACATAGGGGAGGAAGTTATTTCGTAACATGCACTTTCATGGTAGGTAGTCCTTAAAGCAAAAGTAAATTATGGAATAATTCTTTGTATGCTAACACAAAGCTTTATGCTTCATGCCATTGTGCAGTAATAATACTGACATGCAAATAAATCAGATAGAGAACGTCTCATATTACTAATTATTCGATAGTTCTAATCCTGAGCATGGAAACATAAGTAAGGTAGTAAATTAATCGTGTTCTATTTACAAGTCTGTCACGGATAAATAACAAAACATATATCAGTGCTTCTTTCATGCATTTTTAATGTTTAAATATTCTTCAGAGGGACTGTTAAAATTTTCCACAAATATAATTGGTGCATATGAAGCATATATCTTTATGAGTGATATCTTGAACAGCCACGCTTCTTTTTACATGTATAAGTGTTAAAGTTCATCCTTTGTAACAAGTTTAATAGGAGAATATAAAATCGTGTCTTTACATTTCTCTGCCACTTCTAGCCAACGTAATTAGGCCTATCCAATACTGTAAAGAAATGCCTTACGTACGTGCTTCAAAAGAGGTTTTCATAAAGGGTATCTACATGCAATAGGAATTGGAACTACATTGTTCATACAGTGGAAAAGTTGTGTATGTCAAAAGTAATTAGTTAAAATTTGAAACACCATGTTACGTAAGCAGAGAAACATAACGAGTGCCTTGTTATCTACTGTTGGCTGAGTATGCACACCACCACCACACAGACGTGCACACCGGCCAACAAGAAAATTAGATATTCTTGTAAACAACAGTTGAAACGAAGCCCATTTTTATGTTCTTCTATTTACACAACAAGACCTTTAATTTATTTTAGCCGCACTTGACTGCAATAACATTTCAATCTCGATTTCTAGTGCTTGTATGATGACCTTTTTTCCCCCCCTCTTGGCACTACAGCCCCAGTGGGCCTAGGCCTACCTCCATGAACTCCGTTCACTTCGGTTTTTCTAGATCTTACACATACGGTAGGACTGCTTGGGCGAGTGATCAGCTCGTCGCAAGGCCTCTACCTGTAGACAAACACAGAAAAAGGCACACACACAAACTAAACATCCATGCCCTGAGTGGGATTCGAACCCACGATCCCGGCTTCCGAGCGGGCGAAGACAGTGCATGCAATAGACCGCTCGGCTACCGTGACCGGCAGGATGACCTTTACGGCAACTTATATTCAAACACATATGTTAATTATTTCTTCATCGTGTTGGCTAGGCTTTCTTACGACGGCCAGCAGTAGCCGGAATATGCAAAGGCAAAATTTTATATTTTCCTGTTGAACTTGTTATATTTGATGATCTTTTCCACTTATTTATGTACCTGTAATTAACGAAACTGATGCCACGTTTACAAATTCTACATGCACGAACAGCGCCAAGCACTCTTATTTCAGTTGCTCTTAAAAAGGAAGCTCAGCTCCTGATATTTGAGGTTCTCACTGTGGTGAGCACGTAAAGATGTTACGCCATATAATTTCGCAGAGGTTTACTGACTCTTCGTAGGAATGTTGTGCCTCTATCTTCAGGATGGAGATGTGTGGCAAACAAGTTAGCAAACAGCCACTGTGTGCTTCCTCACTTGTTTACCCTATCATCTCATACTTCAACCCTAAAATGGAGGCGGAATATTCTTCCGGGGAGTCAGTGAACTTCTAGCAGAATACAAGGTGTCAAATCCCAGAAGATAGTATTCTTCAACACTGAGCTTGTGGCCCGACTGGAGACATAAAATATGACTTGTAATTTATCAATTTCGGAACTTCCAAATAATATCAATAAATGTTGCTATCCTTTCACTACTACCCACCGAACGGATATTTTCATATTTATATAATTAAGACCACTGCCTAAGTACTTTTACATTTACGTTAATGTTTTATTGGTTCTACGAATACAGAAAAAGTTTTTTTTTGTATATTTGTTGAAATCAGATGTGAATCATAAGAAACTAATCCTATATAGAATACTAATTTTATTATATTATTTTATTGACATCTTTATTTGTGAAAATTATAAATTTAAGGGCGCCTTGCACATTTAATTTCCCTATACGCAGCCAACAGGAAATATTGTTACCGAGAAATCCTATGGAATTGTAACAGACCAGTACAAATTCAGTAATGCAGAGATTTCTTTTCTCATTTTTTCCTGATTTCCTGTTTGCTCGTCTGTCTGCGCACTCCTGAGTTGTTGCAGCTCAGTCGAGATAGTGGCTAGGGTACTGCCTGGAAGGCCAGGGTATCGGACTTCGATTCCAACAAAGGGCAGAGATTCTTTCTTCAAAGTTATATCAACACTGGCTCTGAGGCCCATTAACCCTCCTCTCTAGTGGATCCTGGCGTAATACGACAGGAATATGTATCTGTCCATTCACCTCCATCTAGCGACGTGGTTAGGAATGCATCGAGCTGTTAATCCACTTATCCATAAATATTCATAATATCATCCTTATTATTCTGTAGTTCCATAGACGAATTCCTGATTTCAGCACTGCCATTAACATGGGACAAATGATGTCACAGAGAAGTAATCGCACTCTCACAGAGAAAGAAATCTGTCTAAACCGACTTGCACTTCCTTTAAAATTCATCCGTGTTCTCGGGGTTTGCGGGGACGTAAACAATGTGACAGTAGTGCAATTGTATATTAGGGTGAAATAAAAATAATTTGCAGCAAAGTTGTGCAACTGCAATCCGAATACGTTCAGACGGCTAAATAAGAGGACAGAATATTGTCATCTAAATCTGAGTTCAGCTAAGGACGACGACCGTTCCTCTGGTAAGACAAAAAGCGCCAAGACACATCACTGCCCAGCAGTACGTCACTGGTTTTTCTGCTGCACCTATTTTCTCAGTTTCCATCGCTGGAATTTTTCTACTCCCTCAGGCCGAAAGGTAGCGGACATTCTAGATCTCAAGCGACTCCAACAGAGCTCATGAAGAGTATCCCCAGAATTATTTCCGAAGCTGAATCAACGACCTCTACATACGATAAGAAAAGTATCATTCTTCCCTAAATCTTCTAATAACATCAGTGTAGGACCTTTGAGTCAAGCCTTGTTAAAATGTCTGTACATTTTTAGGAAAGGAATTTTTGTATTCAAAAGTATTAACAAGAGAAAATTTAGCCTTATATATTATCTTTAGAACATTTTTAGGGAAGACTGTTTGAATGTGTATTATTAATTAATATTTTGTATAAGTTGTAAGCATTACCTTGTTTATACAATACATTCAGGGAGCAGAGATAAAAAGAATGTTGAAGCATTACCTTACAAATCTTAATTATATCTCTTTGATAGATAATGGGGCAGGTTCTTAAGTAATTAGATTCCTATGTATTTCAAAATATTACACATGCAAGACATTACTACCAACCAGTACTTTCCAGCTACTGTTATTGGCGTCTTAAAAAGAAAAGCAAGTCTCTAAATAATACAGCATAATTATGCAGAGAGGAGATAGACACGCAAGGACAAACTATCCAAGAGAAGAATATGCAAAATTCAATAGGAAGTCAAGACAAGCTTTTACGGTTTACTGATATTCATGCATGTAAATTGGATTCGTGTTACTTAGGCCTACAAACTATGTTCACCAGTCTCAGAGATAACTTGAAATTACAATGAATTAATAACAATACTCGAACTGACATGAGATGTTTAAGAATGCCAAATTGATCATCTCCGACACTTCATACTCGGATACTGGAGGATGAATATTTCCTTGTATCCTAGCATCTCCGACATGACAGACGATACAATTTATAAGGAAGACAACAATGACGATCGCTTTCGTATACTGAAAAATATGTTTATTTTAATCGGAACGCCATTATTTCCAGTTAGAAGAGCACGCTTTTATAGCGTGTATCGGATTTTAGTGTATTTTAGTTTATACTTCACATTCTCAACGATCATTATTGGAATTGTGAAGAATTTCGGAGACATGGGTTACGTCACGGAGAGCGGGAGGCCTGGACTCTCCATGTTCAACGTTCTATGGACACATTTTTTCATGAGGTACCAACCAGTAAGCTCATGTTTATCTTTTACAGTAAGTTAGCTTTAGGAACACTCCCTACAGCCCCAACAGGACTATCCATACTCCACGGAGAGGCACTACTGAGTGTCTCTCCCCATGACATCGTAGATACTTTTCAAACCATTCTGCTAAATGTATCTTTACAGATTGCACAATAAAACATGGGATGTCAAAAAAAAAATCTTTTACAAAGAGATAATTCCAAACACGTGTTTCTCCTTCCATTGCAGTCACTAGGCCCATGCCCATAGCGGAGCCGCCTATGCCACTAGTACTCAGGGATCAAGTTTGTTCACGCTCGACTCGTGTACGAATGTAAACTTTATGTGCTACTCTGTGGTGGTACAGACCTTCGGGTACAGACTCAATTATAACCCTTAAAAGCACAATTGTTACGATATGTACCACCTGCTTTAACATATAAAATCTGCATTTTCCCACAGTGTTAATTTGAGTGTTCATTATGATTGTCACAACAATTAGCCATTAATTTAGTAAATCGGTTAGTCTTTAAAACACAGATGCAATTGTGTTGCTTGTGGAATGAGAACTGACATGCGAGCTGTTTAGAAAAATTGTGATTCATAAGGTTAAAGCAGAATCAGGTTAAAGGAATTACCGTGTTTACGCATGTAAAGGCCGCACATTTTTTGCCAAAAATTCAAGAGGAAAACTGGGGTGCAGCTTATATTCGAAATCACATTTCATTTAAAAAAAATTATATTCATAATTAGTAATACAGGGTGTAATACTCCTGAAATAATATTCCAAGAAAATTATTTTTTCTATAATTTCTGTCTGAAAATTGTGCTGCGGCCTATACACGCACGCGGCCTATACATGCGTAAATACGGTAATCTTTGCAAGCATAAGAAGAGGAATAACACGATGTCTTGCAGGGCATCTGTTTCATTGCCTAATTATTCGAAAAGTACTGCATTGACGTCACGAAATTTGTCAGACCGCATTGTCTCATTTCCACTTTATGCAAATTTTGTAAACTAACGTACTTCATCGGGGGCACGCAGCAGTGTAGTTGGTTGTGGGACTCTTAGAAGCCGGAAGGTCGCGGGTTCAAGTCCCGATGAGGTAATTGGATTTTTTTCAATTGACCTAATCGTTCCGCCCGCACTATGACCCTGGGGTCCACTCAGCCTCTAACAGAAATGAGTACCAGGAATATTTTTGGAATATTCTTGGTGGTAAAGGGCGGCAGGCGCATAGGGCTGACAACCTTGTGG